TATCTGAATATTAAATGGCTATTGATGAAAAAATGCAGATGATAAATGATAACAACTCAACAAAAAATGTGTTTGATACAATGAAAACCCACAGGATTGTAACTTTAAGCTGAATACCAAATGAGTAGTGTTTGTGGTCCTGTATAGTCTCTAAAAGGCCAACTATCACTAGCTGAACTGTCCTACTGCAGTTCAAACCCAGCCACATGGTGTCTCAACCAGCGAAGTACATTTTGGTGCAGATCCAGTTTGAAAAATGATCGACAGAGAGACAGAAGAATCAAGAGGGAAAGGAGAGAGAGAGAGTGAGAGAGAGAGACGGAGAGATAGAGCCAGAAAGAGAAGTACATACACTGAGGTTATTTCCGCGAGGCCTGTGTCTCCTCCGCTGCAGAGCAGGCAAACACAGAGATGATACGTAGAGCAGAGCAGTGTAGCACACACACACACACACAGAGCATAGGCCCGACATAGCATAGCCGCCAGGACCAGAAGAGAACAGAGGCAGGGAGACAGAGAAAGAGACAGAAACGAATAAACAGATAGAAGGAATGAGAAACAATGACAGATATGAGGAGGAGAGGGAGGATAATGTGATTATTTTGAGGAGATAAATATGTTTCGGGAGGGAGTAGAGAGAAGAATGGAAGAAGAGGGATGAGAGCGATGTAGCACATGTATATAAGGGAAGGAAAAGATGAAAGGAAGGATGACAATGAGAGTACAGAGATAAAAATGAGGAAAGACAATTACAAAAACGTGATAAAGGGGACACAGAGACAGGAGAAAGAGAGAGAACCCAGTTAGTTTAAAGAAGGCCAGTGCACACACATAAGAGCGAGGTGGGTGTGCCAGTGAGCGAGAGAGGACAGAGGACAATATAAGATGCATGTGCATCCACACACACACACACTCTTACACACACTTACCGAAACAGGATGAGCTCTCTGTAAGGCAGAGCAGTGTTAGAAGGCAGTAAGTAACAGTGTACAGACACACACATATATACAGTATACGCAACACACAAACACACACACACACACACACACACACACACACATGCAAACAGGACATTTTCTACACTCCCACAGCAGTCTACCTTTATTTATGTAGAGTTACTATCTAATGATCTTAATGCATCTAATTATTTCAAAGTAACATCTGATTATATTCACACAAAGATTGTATACCCCAGGACTACCAACAGTGTTTAGAACTACAGGCACCAAACCTGGGTCAGGTAGGGTTGGTTTTAATGAGCATGGAGTATCAAATGGGTGGAGGTGGCCTAAATATAAAGAGCAGTAAAGAGAACTGATTGTTTACTCCCAGTACACAAAGAGTGCATTCATACCTAAACTGCTGTCTGTGAGTAGTTTGTGTGTTGCTTTTATACTATATTATATTTAAAATGAAACAATAAATGCAGTATTGGTGTAAAGTGCTAACTGTCAGCTTAAAGTTGAGGATATTTACATCTGCATCATATGAACAGTGTAGGAACTGTAGCCCTTTATATATACAGTATATTTTAGTGTATTTTAGAGGACAAACTATTGTAATTTGTATATGTAATTTGGCATATTAAAGGAAGCCTAAATAACGTCATATTTAATGACTGCACATCAGTTCTCCAAAAAATCCTCACCAAATTAGATACTAAGAATAAGTAGACCCTCTTCACACACCTCTGTTTATGTGCACATCACATTCCTCTTATACACTCTCCTACCTCATCCTCTAAATGTTCATACAAAAACACTCCATGGAGTAACCAACATACCAAAGTGAGAGCAACATGACTGGATGCTGTGACATGTCAGAGTATGGCAATGCGTGTATGCGTGAATGTGTGTGTGTGTGTGTGAGTGAGTGTGAAACTGCAGCCAGAGGCTTCATAGTGAAGTCTGCATGCCCTACCTGGAAAACATTTTATAAATAAATTTCAACACTT